TTCAAATTTAACTATCTGGGAATTACATTCCATCATAGGCTTCTATGGTCCTCATACCGTGCAACGGCGGTGAATGCCAGTAAGATGCCAATGCAGGCCATAATATGTTTCTTCAAAACAAGAGGTAATCCGCACATCCCCTCTGCCTTCAAGGTCTTCAACGCCAAAATTATAGCTCAACTGCTCTATGGAATTCCAGTCTGGCTGCCAGGGTTTACCCAGCTGGTAGAACGAGTGTAGGCAGCTTTCCTTTTTAAGATTTTTGCTGTCCCACATTGTGTATCCCATGCAGCCTTGTGTCTAGCGGGAGGTCAACACAAGGTAGAGACCATTGCCTAGGCGAGATTTCGTCTATGCTGGTTAAACATCTGCCTCACAACAGATAAAGATCCTCTCCTCAGTGAAGTTTTTTTAGACCCCTTTCCTTCCCCAGGGCTACAACGGTTTAACATAAAGGTACAGCAATTTGGGTTGTCAGTGGAACTTTTGTGAGCAATGTCCCCACCATCTGCCAAGGCTATAATAAAAACAAGGTTGTGGGACATTGAACGCCAGGAACTAACAGCAGCAGCAGAAAAAATATATTCCCCTCTTCACTTTCAACTTTCTTGGGCACATGAAATTAACCATAATTATCTTGAATTTTTGCTTAATCCTCAAGAAAGAAGGGCATTTTCGCTGGCCAGGTTTAATTCAAATCCATCAAACCCCCTTTGGGGAAGGTTCTCTGGAATGGTGGAAGGAGACAGAATTTGCCCATGTGAAGACCATCAGGTGGAAACTCTTACACACATGGTCCTTAAATGTAAATTATATGCTGATCTCCGCCAGCAGTTCCTAGATCAACTCTGCATCCCCATATGGAAACCAGAGTTGGACGTCATACATTTACTATTACTGGGGAGTGATCAGGAGCTCACCAAGTTAGTGGTTAAATATCTTTATCTGGTTTTTTATCATTGAAACACATTGCTGGCATCTGATCTCCCTGGAGACCTAGAGATGTAATGTTAGACTGCTTTGCCTCTTTTGACAAGCGAGACCTGCAACAAAATGTTGGAGTGTATTCTCCACCTAAAATCTAATCAGATGAAGGCTGTAATCCTGGGCAGAGTCACTACAAAGCAAGTCCCTCTGAAATCAGTAGGACTGACTTCCTAGTAGCCATGTATAAAATTTCCAAACTTCTTCAGATACCCAAAGCAAAACATAGGAAGAGCCCTGCTGGTTTAGGTCAAAGGTCCATCTGGCCCAACATTCTGTACAGTCAACCAGACACCTATGGGAAGCCCACAATATTCCAATTCTCTCCCCTGCTCAAGTAAAACATTATTTACACACATGCACCTACCCACACATACAGAGGTAGATCTGTATTGTGGCAGGCACTGAACAAATGGGTTCGCCCCCTCCCCTTATATCAATTTATCAACAAAGATCATCGTAGGAAAGTTTGTGGCAAATGGCCAAGTATCACTCAAGTATTAATAAGAAAGTTTTCTAAGTATTTCATAGATGAAAACTCAGCTACCCAGGTAACAAAAATATGCTATACAGTGGTACCTCGGGTTACGGACGCTTCAGGTTACAGACTCCGCTAACCCAGAAATAGTACCTCGAGTTAAGAACCTTGCTTCAGGATGAGAACAGAAATTGTGCGGCGGCAGCGGAAGGCCCCTTTAGCTAAAGTGGTGCTTCAGGTTAAGAACAGTTTCAGGTTAAGAACGGACCTCCAGAACAAATTAAGTTCTTAACCCGAGGTACCACTGTATGATCCTTCTGGTAATCTGGACACTAGAAATGCAATTCTTTCATCAGCCAGAGTTCAAATGAAATTCCGGGGTAAGTACCTGCAAGAGAAATCCTGTTGTTTTCAAATGCTACATAATGGCCTTGCAGCCCACGATCTTTGCTTAAAGAAATTGGTCAAGTACACAGCCTGAGCAACAGGTTTATATGTATAAATTAAATGCTGGCAATTACAGGACGTCACACATTCATACGGCATTATCTCACTGCTTGAACCCTCCCTCTCCCTCCATTCATATCCAAGTATCCATCTCTTAATTTGACCTTAAATCCATGTGGTTATTGTGCGAAAGATGTGGACATTCTTTCCACCAGACCTGTGCATCTAAAGCACCAGCAAATGCATGAGAGCAAGCATTCGTAATAACAACAACAAAACAACAACATTTATTTTTAAATTTAAAGTGTTCAAAGTGTTTCTGATAAAGCCTCACAACGTTCCTGGAAGGTAGACTAAATTAGATATTGCTAGAGGGATGGAGGGCTGAGGCTATGTGCAACTACGGCTGAGGCAAGATTTCAATTGAAGACTTCCCTGTTGATAGCTTGCACTATGTCTAGAAGCAGCAGAATAGTAAATGATCCAAAAGCAGATGGAAGTGGATTTGCTCTGCCTTCCAAATTTAGATCTGTGTTATTGCTTTGGTGCTTGGCAACCTGCAAATATAGCAAAGTCCAAGAGTTCAAAAACTGATGGTTTGGTCAGCAACTAAGCATGCCGTGATCTCTTCCCTGGGTGATGAGAGGACAACAGGGAAAATAAAGAGGTGATGCAACAACCAATCGTGTAGAAGTGTAGAAGCAGCTCTGTGATGGTGACACTGCTCTTTTTAAATTTTGAATCTCGCATGTAGTTATTTTGGAGGAAACTCTTCCCTATTTATTTATTCTCTCCTCCACCACGATCATTTACGCAGCTGCTGTTTTTTGTTAGCAAGTTACACCCCCTCCCCAAATCTCTCTAAAATTGGCAGCCCCAACTTCTGGCAAATTCCAGGTGTTCTCGTTAATCTGTGAAATATTCCTGGAAGGTCAACTGGCATCAGTCCCATACTGCTAGGTGGAAAGGAAGACCTTCAGCCATTCTACACAATCTGGTTCTAAAATGATGCCTTCAAACTGCAGTTCCTAAGTCCCAAGGGGCTTAATGTGAACTACGGGCAAGCAGATCAGATATATCCCCTTACAAACTGTGCAGCCAGTTGAGAAACACTGACAAACTCCACAGGTTCAGATCAGGCCAAACCAGCGTTTACGTGCTTTAGCAAAGAGAAGGATCAGGGAAGAAGTTCAAGGGCTTTGGGGCTTGAAAAGGAGGTCACATTACAAATACGTTGTTTTTGCTTTTTTAAAAAAGTACAGAGGTTAGCACTTAGTCAATGGTTCACATCAAACACAGCATTGAATTGCAAACTAGGCTGGCAGGAGCAAACATCGATCATGCAAACATATGGGCAGAATAAGCAACACACTCTTGTGTTTACTATCAACACTTGCATCACACACAGCAGGCATTTGTTTAATGATTGCGAGGAGCGATATTGCGTGAAGATAGTGACAACACAGCATGGAAAACAGCGATATCACCAGACAGACTTGTGTTGGGCCATCCACTATCTTGTAAGTTCCATTTGGCACAGAAGGATTTGGCACCCAAAATATTAACAGATACTTTGAAGCTGGGATGTCTTTGTTAGAATAGTAGATATCTATGCAAAGGATACCAAAGTTAAAAGCAGTTCCTGCTTTTGTATGGGACATGGGCATTCATTTTGTCTAATTAATAAACTTCAACTTCCAGTCCTGAGGACACAGAACCTTGGAAACTTCAGTGAACTTTCCATAGGTTGAACTTCAGGTTTCTAGGTCTTGTGATTTTAAGCAACAGCAAAATGCAAAAGGAACAATCAGAAGAGAAAAAAGCACATTAGAAACCACTTGGATAGAGCAGAGGAGAATACAGAAGATAACTAAAGAGGAGCCAGAAAATTATGAGATGAAACCCCACCTTCTTGAATGGCTCACACCATATTTTGTGATCTCTGGGACCTTTGCTTCTGGAATATACTTTGCCTCATGGTTAGGCAAAACTGAGAGAAAAAATTGGACTTTAGAGGCATATGGTGCCTCTTTCATATACCCAAGTTTTTGTTCTTTAGTCTAACCTCTCTGTTTAAGCTCTACCCAACAATGTTGTTTTGTTTTTATATTGTTTCAGAGGTAGCTTATACCTCAAAAGAGCTATATACATTTTTTAAACAAAAAGCAGAATTTCACAATTGAAGACTATTAGAAGAGCACCGTCTTTACATATCTAAATACCACCACATATGTAAAGATCACTGGACACTTGAGTCCTGAAGGGTTGGAGGTTAGCAGGGAAGGGACTCTGACTTTGCAATTCTTACTTAGGCTGAGCCAAGTTATTGCTGAAATTGTCCTGCCCTACTTTCTATTCCGCTCTTGGAGCAGAGGAATGTCAGTTTGGAAAAGGAGCATGATACTCAGGCCAAAATCACATGTGATGCTCAGTCACATGCATTTCCAACCTCCCACCCCATTCTAATTCTCTTTTTTAAAAAAAGCACAACCCAAAAATAACTGGAGTGGCTGCAATCTTGAGTAGGAGACCAGTGGGAGGGGAGGGGCTGCTTGTTTCATTCCTGTTAACACACAAGCTGCACCCAAGGTCTGTTCTTGGTTTACAGCTCATGGTTTGTCTGGAGCAAGACAAACTATGAACCAGGGTTTGGACAATACTTTAAGCCAAACCATGTCTTAGCTCACAGCAGCCAAAGCAAGACTGAGAAGCAAAGTGGTCATGATCTTGTCTCTAGCAGCCTGGACATTCATGGTCTGGCTTAACATTACACGTGAGCTGGGTCATTGCATACATACTTTGCCATTGTGTGTGTGTGTAAATCAACTACATATATTCTAAAGATTTTCTATCTGAGATTTGCTGCAGCCGACCAAGGTAAAAATATGTACCTCATCATATGTGCTTATGATAGTGCTCACCTCTCCCACTCTCCCCAGGCAGCAAAGACTACCCATGAGAAAGGAGGCAGGGGAAGGAATGTCCTTATGGCTGCCTAATATTGTGCTTCCTGTAAGTGGAGGTGGGCGTACGTGTGTAGCAATGCAGCACTCTGGAGAAGAGCTGAGGTTTGTCCCTTATGATGACTTGCCTCTGTCTCTGGTCGAGGAATGAAGACTGGAGGTTTCATCTTGAGTGTCAGATCCTGGAAATCCCACTCACCCAGAACATATTGCACTGGCATCCTGGAACAGAGGACATGAATTACACTGTGCACTTGGCCAAGAATCCAGTTGCTTACAGTAACTCATCATCATGCTCAAATATACCACCCTCTTCCAAAGCACAAACAACTGGACAGGCAGTACCTTCCCTAATGGGTGGAGTGGGAAGGAAAAAGAACATTCAGTCCTATGACAGAGAGATTTCAAATGTTCCCTAATGAGAAGTTTGAAGCACTGTACTACTGAAGCTAAAACTGATACCACTGGTTTTCCATGACAGACTATCTGCAACTCTGCAAGCTACTGACCAGGAGCCAGATGAGAATGTAAGAGCCCTCCCGGATTAGAGCAAACACCTATCTTTATCCAGCATTCTGTTTCCTACAGTGGTCAACTAGATGCCTGTGGAAAGCCTGCAAGCAGGACACGAGTGTGACAGCAGTGACCTCTTTGTGCTCCCCACATCTGGAATTCAGAAATCTCATGCACTGGAAGTAACACAGCCATCATGACTATTAGCCACGAATAGCCTTATCTCCCCTGAATTTGTCTAATCTCCTCTTGAAGCCATTCAAAGTTGGTGGCCAACACCACACCCGGTGGAAGCTAATTCCACAGTATTGTGCTGCATGAAGAAGCGTTTCCCTTTGTCTTTACTGAATCTCCCAACATTCGGCTTCACTGGATTATCTCGGGTTCTAGCATTGAGAGATGGCCTGTTTTTTCACACTGTGCATAATTTGGCACTTCTATCATGTCCCTTCTTGATATGTTCCCCGCTGATCATGTCCCCACACAAAGCCCAAACTTTGCAGCCTTTCCTTACAGGGGAGTTGGTTCCGTGCCTTTGAGCACTTTGGTTGCCCTTTCCTGCAGCTCAGGTTCAGTTCTCTCCTCCGACCATTCACTGAGCAATGAAAACATTCATAATTCTGGATAGAAAGTCCCTTAATAACCACTTCGAGCAAACTGACCCAACGAAGCGTTCCTCTTTGCTACACTTCCTTTTGTGGGTGCTGAATCCCCAGTTCCAAGCATCAGTTCCAAGCATCGGCATTTCACATGGTAGATTCCATCCAGCAAGAAGGAACTTATTCTAGATTCCTGTCTCTAAAGTCTGTCATTCCTGACAGTGCTCAGTACAGTGGTACCTCGGGTTAAGTACTTAATTCATTCCAGAGGTCTGTTCTTAACCTGAAACTGTTCTTAACCTGAAACACCACTTTAGCTAATGGGGCCTCCTGCTGCCACTGCGCCGCCACCGCAATCGGCAATCTGCACAGAATTTGGCTTGATGGTTGCCATTAATTTGATTTTAATTTGATTTAATTAATTTTATAATGAATGTTTTAGAATGTCGGATTATTTTGATTGTTGTTAGCCGCCCTGAGCCCAGCTTCGGCTGGGGAGGGCGGGATATAAATAAAATTTATTATTATTACTATTATTTCTGTTCTCATCCTGAAGCAAAGTTCTTAATCCAAGGTAATATTTCTAGCAGAGTCTGTAACCTGAAACATATGTAACCTGAAGCGTATGTAACCCAAGGTACCACTGTATAAAGCTAAAATATGACAATCAGGCTCGTAAGAGTACGGTAGGGATGGGAAATCTGTCTCCCACCAGGCCCTCCTGGCTCCGTCACAACTCCCCACCATATCCCTCCTGCTAAGCTGCAGCCATGCTAGTGACCAGGTGTGTGTTACTGCCCCTCCTTGTCGGCCACTCCTGGAAGCTGGAGTGCAACATCTAGAAGGGCAGTCTCCTTATCCCTGTACTATAGGAAGGCCAGGCAGCTGTCATGTTACCATAAGCTTCTTGGTCAGGTATTCTTGCCATCTCCTCACAAAAAGCAAGCCACACATTCTACCCTGAGGAATCATAAACTAGCCAAGGTACTATTCTCACTCCCCACCCCCTTTATCTCTCAATATACACTCTTACTAGCGTCAAGATAAGGATCCAGCATGTTTAATTTAGAATCCAATAAGGTTATATATTTTAGCTTTCGGGTACGTACAGATCCAAGAAATGTAGATAAGAAATCTACTGGCATCTTTATTAGATAGGCAACACACTCTCTGACAGTTAAATCATTCTTCATAGGCAAAAGGCATTGTGAAAGCCCACTTGTCTTAAAGGTATCCGCATTGCTTAACACATCTGATGTGTACCTAAACTCAATCATGAGCATTTTTTTATTCTGTAATCTTTTCTTATAGGGAAAAAAGAAAAAGAAAAACTTAGAAGGCTGCATTGTCTTTCAGCTTCTGAAGCTGAACCACTGAAAGTAATATCCATGTGTCAGAGCTGCCCTAGGTCCCAGCTCACAGAGGACCAACGCCAGTCCGTTGCTATATTAAATAGTCTTTATTGAAGTTCAGTTTCTCATTTACAGCCACGGCGCGCAGCTCTACGTCTTAAACCCTAGGCCGCCGAAGCTCCGTCTGAGTCTCCTCCCCCCAGACACCAGTTTAAGACCCTAGCCTTGCTCCACCTCTTTCTCTGCTCCCTCTTCCTCTGGGTCCGCCTGTCCGCCGGGGTTTTCCCCTTTCTAGACTCTTCTGACGCTGACTCCCCCGAGTCTTCCCCCTCCCTCCGGCGGGCTTTAGGACCTGGTTCCCAATCCGGGCTTTCTGCTGTCCCGCACGCCTGCACATTTGAACTTGGCATGCGCGCGCCCAGCCTGCCACCTTCCTTCTGACCGTTATACTGCTCCGGTCGCTGCTTGCCGGAGGAGACGCTGACTCTGACCTATGGGACTCTTCCCCCCCACTACGCTCCGGTGGGGAAGCTGGCCCTGATTTCCAGTTACTGCTTTGGGAGTCTCCGCTGGCCCCCTGCTTCTGGTGTGTCCCCCCTGGGACCCCCCTTGCCCTGGCCATCGGCGCCCCCTTCTGGGAATCTTCTGATTCACTGGAGAGGCTCATGGAATCTCTCGGGTCACTGTCATTCTGCCCTCCGCTGCCCTCAGATTCTTCCCCTTCGCTCTCCATTTCCTCTCTCCCCTGCGCCTCTGCTCCTGAGCCCCTGACATCCATCCCCCCCTCGAAGCCCCCCCTTCCCCTCCCCTTCTTCTGGTGCGGGTTCCGGGTGCTCCCGTGCTGTGGGGGTGAGTGCGGGGTACAGTTCTTCCCTCCTGGTGTGCAGCTCGCCAGCTAGATCCGGCCAGTCCGTGATAGGCTCGTCGACGTCGATCTCCTCTGCTTCCATCTCTCTGTAGCTGTGCTCTAATGCAGGATCCTCCCCCAACCCGTCCATGTCCGTCTCTCCCCCTGGCACCTCGGGCGAGGTTGCGTGTAAAAGTCCCCTGCTCCACCCAACTTCCGGTTGATTGTCCCACCAATAAGAGCGGTCCGTGCCAAACCCCAAGAGCGATCCCTCTGGGGAGCTTGTGTCTGGCGCCGGTTCCTCCGCTGATGAGAACCCCTGGAACGTGCTGGCGGAGAGTGTGGGTGTGAAAAGCCAGTCGTCGAAAAAATCTGCCGGCATAGGTCTGTGAGGGAAGAGTGCATGGAACTCGTCTTTGAGGTATCGCTCCTCCAAGGCATAGTCCGGTACCCACCTGTTGGCGCTGGCCGGGGTACCTTCCTCGGCGAGAAGATATTCAACTCCCTCTTCCCCCCATCTCGAGTCCAAAATCTCCGTGACCTCGTTGAGTGGTGCCGCCCTCGGTGACCCCTCCCCTGTTGGTGATTTGCTGAGTGGGTCTGGTGCGGCCCTTGGGGTCTGAAACCTGTGGGGCTCCTTGTAGGGTGTGAGCACCGACCTGTGAAAGACCGGGTGCATTCTGGAACCCTCCGGGAGTTTTAACCGGAAAGCCACTGGATTGATCTGCGCCTCGACTTGGTAAGGCCCTAGCTGCTTGTGTCTAAGCTTCTTCTTAGCTAACGTTCTGGCTGGCACTGCCTGGGCTGCTAACCATACCCAGTCCCCCACCTGGATGTCTTCCCCGACTCTCCTGTGCCTGTCTGCCTGCACTTTGTAGGCGTGTTTTGCTAGTTCTAAGTTCCTTCGGAGTTGCTCGTGGACCTCCTGCAACTCTGCTGCCAAGTGCTCCGCCCCCTGTGGCTCCCCCTCCCCCTTCGTCTCTAACCCCGGGAAGGTTCTGGGATGCCGCCCATTGTTGGCGAAGAACGGTGTCACCCCTGTAGACGCGTGCTTCGTGTTGTTGTAGGCAAACTCGGCCAGCGGTAGGTAGTCCACCCAGGTCGAGGGTTGTTGGTTCGCGTAGCATCGCAGGTATTGCTGCATGATGGCGTTGACCCTCTCCGCTTGTCCGTTGGTCTGCGGGTGTCGTGCTCACGCTAAGTTGATCTTGACGTTCAGGATGCCCAGCAGCTTCTGCCAGAAACTCGAGACGAACTGGCGCCCCCGGTCGGATAGGATGGACCTCGGCAAGCCGTGAACTCTGAACACGTGGTCTATGAACAGCTTGGCGGTTTGTTCCGCCGTGGCCACCTTCGCGCAAGGAATGAAATGCGCCATCTTGGTGAACAGGTCTACGACCACGAGCACCGCTGTTTTGCCTCTCGAGCTGGGCAGATCTGTGACAAAGTCCAGGGCCACTCTCTCCCACGGTTCAAACGGCGTCTGAAGCGGTTCCAGCAGTCCTGCCGGCGCCCTGTGTACTGGTTTGGCCCTTTGGCATGTGTCACACCGAGCGACGTAATCCTCAACTTCACCCCTCATCTTGGGCCACCAAAAGTCTCTGGCTACTAATTCCGCTGTCTTGTCCTTGCCGAAGTGCCCAGCGCTGGGCACGTCGTGTAACTGCTGCAGGACTTTCGCGCGGAGATCGTCCCCCGGCACGTAGAGCGCCCCTCTGCGGAGGAGTAGTCCGTCGCGTATCTGGAACTCTCTGTCCTTCGCTGTGCCTCTTTGCACCTCCTCCATCTTGGATCGTGCGAACGAGTCCGTCTGCAGCGCACGACGCACCGCGTCCAGGTCCACTGTGGCTGAAGCACACGCCCACGCTTTCGGTGCAAAAATGTGCTTGGCTGCCACCGGTGCCACTTCCT